TAGGTATTTTTGAGCTATAAAACCACCTGTAATTGAATAAATGTAAGGTAGAGATGTTTAATGTCATACTGTTGAACATGCCATGCCAATCGGCGCCATCGGTCCCTGTGACCACCACCATCACTCACACACACACCACTTTCATACTAGGCAAAGTGCGTGAAGTGCCTTGCCTAAGGACACAATGACTGGCGTCCCACAAGCAATAGACCCGCTAAATGTAAGAATGTCTGAATTTTAGGTATTTGAGCAATAAACACATTTTCAGTCCTTAACTGAATAAACACAAGACTGATATATTTAATGTCATACAGTGAAAGATTCCAGCCAAAGCTGTGACATCCTAAAAGAAGCAGGTTGTGGACCCCCAAACAGAAAAGTTATAATGCACCATTAAGAATTTTAGTATTTTAAGACACCACCCAGCCCTGCAGATTGGGGATGAAAGCGTGATGACAGTCACTAGTTACAGTTGTGGACCACGCTCCACCAGGCAAAGAATGTGCTATAAACTTATCAAGTGTGGATGCAGAGTAGCCTGTGCTGGGTGATGCAAGTGTGCAAAGACAAATTTGGCATGTATAGATTCATGCCAATGTGGCAGCAGCTGCACTTAGAGCACTTTGAATAAGTTTAACGATTTAAGGAAAATCTCTGATATGTTTTTTAGGGTTATGCCTCACATCCATGCAGCATTTAATTACCATTGTGAAAGATAATGAGGCACTTACAGGTCATTAGAGATGTTTAAATTGTTTTTGTTATCAAAAACCCAATGAATATGGCTTTGAAAGATAAAATATTGTATTAACTTGGATTTCAACCACAGGGAGCCCACACAAACCTTACAGCCTCAAGGAAAATGGTCACATGACCTCATTAATGCTTTGGAGCTTATGAAAAATTGTTGTTCAACATTACAAAATGGATAACTAAGCAAATAAGACTGTAAAAAAGGGATTATGCAGTGTTTTTTATGCCAGCCTCATTTTCATATAGTCCATTTTGTGACATGTCCAGTTCTCGGCTTCAGGGTCGACTTAGGCTTGGTTCCATATCTAGAAATATTAGTCCTGGGGGTGTTAGTAATGTGGCAAAATGTCATGCTTGTACCATAAAACTATTCATGAACTATTTTGGTCCTTAACAGCTCCACTACAATTTTAGACAAAAATTGAATTGTGATCATTATCGCTTCTTAAATCTGAAAGAAAACCATTGCAATAGAGGACCAGGGTATATAGTTTATCAGACACAGAAATTCTACTATTATGCTAATCTAATTGTGACTTTAATTCGATAGCGAAACAGCCCATTTGGTTCAACATAACAACTCTGATGTATGTCACACATTTGCTTGTGTGACCACCACCCACAGTGCAACAGAGCCATACTTCTTAGCTCCATGTGTGGCTGTGTTATACTCCCCACAGCTGTCCAGTCCAGTCTTCACCTGGCAGGGCAAAAGGCACAGGCACTGACCACTTTGCTGAAAGCCTGCACGACAAACTGTTGGAAAGGGTTCTCCTAAAATGACACCACCATGCCAAACACGTCCATTAATAGATTTTTTTCTCTGACCCTCCCTACTGCTAAGTGGATGACATTTTATTGCAAAAACACACACACACAGTTATTTTAGCACCCTTGAATGAATGCACTTAAGCAACTTCTGTCACAGCCCCCAGTCTCTCAAAGAAATGGGGTACACGCACATGCAAAGTTGAAAGGTCGGGGGCTCTAGCTTGCATTGTAATCTGATTGGAGGAGGATGTTAATCAGTTTCAGGGCTTGGCCTCTATTCAACAGCACCAAACAGCACTGACCCTCCAGCTGAGACTCCTAACCCTGACCTGGACAAGCAGCTGGCATAGGTTTAATGCTTCAAAATAAGGATTAGAGGTTAGATTAGTGAGAATTAATAGTATATGTTGTGTGATATAGCCAAACAAGAAAACCAACCCCCTGATTGAGGCTTTTTATTCCTCTTTACTTTGATTTCACTGTTGTGTTAAGAAGAGATTTGTAATGTAAGCTATTGCATTATTTAGTAATGTACCAACATCAGGGCTTTTGCACAGGGAGCACCCACGCTGATTAAGTATGCATACAGCAAATGTGAATATTAATGCATCTTCAAATGTCAGGCTCTCCTCTGCTCTGCCTTCACCATTAATTATTACACAGAGCAAATAAGGAGCATGCACAACTTCCTCAAAAGGGATTCAGCAACATGTCAAGGGTTACTACTACAGTATTTCATGTACTGTTAAAATGCCCTGCAGTTATTGAGCAAAACAAGTCCCAAGTGTCAACTGTCAAAAAATTACAACAAATTAATGCAAATAAATTGCATTGTTATTAAGAATATAGTAACAAAAAAACAGGTTTTGAATATATATGCTGCCATATTTTGTGTTCTGCTTTAATATGATGTGTGTTTGGATAATAATAAAAAAAATCTGATAAATTTGCTTTCATATCCAAATAATACACACAGAGACTAAATCTATATTGCATACTGCCATAAAGGCAGTTTGACCTTCCTATTATTCAAATATCCATATTCTGTCATCACTGGTCCAATCTCATTTCCTCCAGTATTTGATTTAGCAAAAATGCTGGTATGAACACCAATAAAATGGTGTAAGAATTGATTGAGTTTGTGTCAGTGACAATATGCTCCAATAATGTATGTAATGTAATGTAATAATAATGATGAGGTGGACACGTGGTTCTGGCGTGAGAGATAAAGGACCACCTGGACAGAGATTCAAAGGCTAATTGTCTTGTAAGGCTAATTGGCTCGTTTGCATTAGGCACCCTCTGTCTACTTCCCAGAGAGACAGATATAGGCCATGCTATGCAAATACATGTACAAGTTTACATGCTTGATTTAAATATTCAAACTTGGTATTGATGAGGAAAACAGCCTTTCACTCTCGTGTTCATTATTTTCTGCTTAAATAAAGAATACACTTGAAACAGAAATAAAGTCCAAATAATTTGCTCAATCAAATATTAGAAAGCAACAGCTGTACAAAGAGTCTGTGTCAACATTCCCATGCAGAGACTCAATGTTTACACCTATACAAGGTGTTTACACGCAAACTATAGTTGGAGGCTACCATGGTTTGGACTTAGCACCTTTTTGTTGGTGCACAGGCCAGGCAGGCCTCTTGGCACATTGCACAGTCCAATCAGACACCATCCGGGGTGTTGTCTGGGTAACAGGTCATGACATCATGCTTATCAGTAGTTTTTGTCCTATTTAGTTAGTTTGGTGTTAGATAGACTGGAACAATATGTGTTTGTCTTGACATATATCTATGAGTCTCACAGCTGTGGTCATACCTCTTATCTTAACATGACCTTGGTACAATAATGAACTAGCAGTGGTCCTACAAAATAGTTAAACATAGTTAGTTATCCTAACAGATGGTTACGATCATGGATATGATCGTAAGGGAGTTTCCTGCAAAAACAATGCACGACTATGCCTATGGAGGGCAAAAGTTAAGTCCACCTTTCTCACATTACAGCACCGCATGCACAGCAGACGTCTCTTTGTCTTCTCAGCGGCTGTGACCCACCTGCCGCTAAATGGGTGTCACCTTTCACCTGAGCTTTCATCTTCTGAATACAGGCACTGGTCAGGGTGGCCCCATCTGCATGTCCCGCTGTGGTCCTCTGTTTTGGTGTGTGTATGTGTGAGGAGGGGGGTTAGGGGCAAATGATGGGGAAGGCTGTGTGTGGCAGCGTCTTGGGGATTAGGACATGTGTCTGGCCTGCTTCTTCTGTTTATACTTCCTTTTAAGATTCAAACAAGGGACAACTGGTCTGGTGTAGCAATTACCAGTTCATACAATAACATATTAAAGATGCTGTTTTTCTGAAGGATTTAATATATCTTATTTATATCTACTTCCGGTTGCTATAATGTATTTATGCATTTTGTCGCAGCCCCAACCCTGTTTAAACAGAAAATAGTCTGAAAATACAATAAAGGAAGCTTGAAAATGTACTTTAGTTCAGTAGTTGTTGTTAGTCGGTAATAGTTTAAAGTGGTTTTGTCTAATAGTGTTTTAAGTAGTGTTCTAACCTCTTTGAACTCTCCTCTTTAATGCTGTTTTTTTGTTGTACATCAATAGCATCTGTCCCTTTGTTTTAATTAAATGATCCTTATAAAAAATATTAGACCATTAAAACTTTCAATTGCAACTGTAGTGTTTTTTGTACTTACCAGTTTAGGACTAAATGTACCCTCATTGCACACTACCATGGTGCTTCTCACTATTGAAAACTTGTTACAATCAGAGAGATAAGTGTGCTTCATTTTTTTTGTTTCTTTCCAATTTGGCAGTCCTTGTTGCATGTGGCCCTCAGCCCAGAGTGGCACCTGACTCCTTTTTCTCTCAAAGACTTTCAGATAAATATATGCAAAACTCTACTTTGCCAGATGGAAGCCAGTTCTTATCCAAGTGAATTTCAATGTGTTGAGGAGTCAAGCTGACACAAATGGACTGGATTGGACTGGTTACTGGTCACAATAAAATGCAATAAATTGTTACAGAAAAGATCGCAATAAATTATAATATTGATGACTTTAAGACACAGACCCAAGAAACTTAAAATAATCCAAGTCATTTTCTGTTTTTTCAAATATCATAATAAACAAAATAAAATAAACAGCAGAATTACCCACTTAAGAAGCTAGTTTGTGCAGAAATGACTTATAAATCGACTCTCTATGGTTCAAATCTTATTGTAATACAAAAAAAAAAAAAGACAAATATGTCCCCACTAGTATAAATACAGGTTCTTAATGATAAATATTGAGGCCAAAAAATGTTTTTGTCAAAGCAGATATAATAATTATTGCTGAATTTTTGGTTACACAGGTGCTACTATTCATCACTGGCCAATTTAACCTCTCTGTAATCTGTTCTACTAACTGGTTACTGCTTTACTGACACTTCCTCTTCTTTTTGGTGTTACAGAAAAACCAGATGGTGGAGCTGCAGAGGAATCAGTTGCGTGATGACATTAAGGAGTACAAGTTTCGTGAGGCCCGTTTGCTGCAGGACTACTCTGAGCTGGAGGAGGAGAACATCTCACTGCAGAAGCAAGTCTCTGTGCTCAAACAAAGCCAGGTAAGGAACTGTGACGTAAAAAAGAGAGCAAGTAAACAGAAAAAGTAGCACTAACTCATAATACTACGAGGTTCACAGTATTACTTTTTAAAATACATCAACTGAGACCAAGACAAACTTTATCCATAAGGAAAATTATCTCACTCATTACAAAATATTGACAAAGAGCTTCGCACATGATAATTCGTTTGTGTTGTTTATTTTATCTTTATTTATCCAGAACAAAGCCACTGAGAATAATTTCACAGCTGTGGAGCACTTAATTGCTGTTTTGTTTGTTGATAGGTATATGATGTTTTGTGCCATAAACATGAAAAGTGTGAAGTGTATTTATTCTTTATATTTTGTAAATATGTATGATTACACTATGGGAATTTCAGCAATATATTAAATCCCCCTTGCAATATTGCATTAAATATTGCACTTAATAAGACCTGACTTTGAATGTCGTTGCATTCCCCGAAGCAGTATCAGTGTTTCTGTTCATTATTCTAATCACTTGAGCTGATTGGAATAACACTTGTTCTGTAATCTTCAGCAAAATGAAATTAGGGCGTTTCAGTCCCACATGACAAATCTCGACCTCTACTAATTACAAGATGAAACACATCCTATGTTAGAAATACTATGAGACAAATAACATGCACAAACCACTTTTCGTATTACTGTAAATGTAAAATTATTCATGAACACGCTTCTTCTCATAAAAAATAACAAAATACAGAATTTGCATATTTAAAAGCAAAAAAGCTCAAATAGGATTTAACCATGTGATGTAGTTTTTCATGCTCTTGTGTTCTTGTCTGAGATTATGAGTTTTACATTAGTCACAGGGTATTTTAAACAAAAGAATAAAATCCGCTTTCACTTTTCTCTTAGGCAATATTAAAGGATTTCCACTCAAAATTATAAGAGCTAATTAGTGATGGCAATTAAGTGGGTATTTCTTGGATTAGTATTACACAGAATAAGATGTACATATAAACCCCCAGAGAAGCGCTTAGAGGCTATGCCTAAAACCCATTTTTATTGGTGCCACATGTTTTGTTTCATGTCCTCATATCCCAGAATTATTAAAAAGTAAATCCTTGTGTGATTCTGTCCAGGTGGAGTTTGAGGGTCTGAAACATGAGATCCGGCGATTAGAAGAGGACACAGGTTTTCTGAACAGTCAGTTGGAGGATGCTATTCGTCTAAAGGAGATCGCAGAGAGGCAGCTGGCAGAGGCTCTGGAGACCATCAAGACTGAGAGGGAGCTGAAGGCTTCTCTCAGGAAAGAGCTGTCCCACTACATGAACATCGGAGATACTTTCTACCACAGGTACAAGGCCAAAGGCACCAAGAAACAGACATAATGTCTGCCGGCCATTAATAAGCTGTCAGTGTAGTCTAGAGAGAGAAATGGTGATTTCATTTAGATTAGGTCTGCAAGATTTAGAGCCCATCACAGTGGAATTGAAGGCCCAAATGAATTGTTGTAATAGGCAAATTGGCAAATTTACTGCAGTTATTGAAATTACCTACTTTTCTCTATAAACAACAAAATAACATTAATAGTCTTATTATGAATACAACCTGCTAACCCTGTAGTTTTAGACTTTTAGACTTTAGATGTGTGATGATAGCGTGTAATTCTTGTATTTGTTTTGCAGCTCATATTTTAGTATTTTCTCAAATCTTGATGTTCATAGATGTGTTTAAAATCTGAACTTTGAAAATAATCCTACTTTACATGCCAGAAAAATTCAAATTTATTTCCAAAATATTATATATTTAAATATTATATTTAAATATGTGTCAAACATTAGCTGCTGTATCCATGACTTGTTTTACACCTGTTTCCTCTTCAGCCCTTTGAGCATCTCCCTAGACGGCCTTAAGTTCAGTGATGATGCCTCCACGGAGCCCAACAACGACGAGGCACTGCAGGGATTTGAAAATGGCTTCCACAAACTGGCCAACACTATTGCCGAGGATAACCGTGTGTTCACTCCCACCAAGGACGAGCTGTCCCGGCCTGCCCCCAGCCTGGTGGATGATCTGCTGAGCGAACTTAACATCCATGAGATACAGAAACTCAAGCAACAGCTAGTGCAGGTACATTTTTATATGCAATCAAATCTTTATAAGAGTAAAAGAGTACATTCACATTAATTTTGATTTGGTGCTGGTATGAGCCTAATCCTGTTCTAATCTGGGTTTAGTCTTGGTCTAGTTCAGGTTTAGTCCTGGTTCGGTCTAGTTCAAGTTCGAGTTTAGTTTAGTCCAAATTGATCTGATGTTTGTGGAAATATGTGTGTATGCACATAGCCTTTTTGACCAAACCATTTGCATTTTTGTCCATCCCTACACAAGTATTGTAGTACTTGTGCCCATTTGGAACTGACTGAATTTTAAAAAGCACATTAGAAATATTTTTACTATATTTAATTTGCAGTATCAGCAAACAACAAACCAATAGTAATACTGAGAGTAGTAATAGTTGGACTGATGAAGCTGACAGGAATGAATCAATGGTAGTATTTGGGTTTTTCCTTGACCCAAGCTGCTGCTGTATTCAAATCCCTTTAGAGTTAATCCTGGCAGACACACTCCCTCTGGCTCTGAAGCCTCTGAACACAGCGGGAGATGGCACCGAAGGACCCGCCATCTGCCTCCACTTTGCCCCATGTCTGTGCCACGCCCGCCTGGGCACCATGGCAACCACCAAGCACCCTGAGCCAGTGGTGGTGAATGGGTGTGTTTAAGATTCTTGTGAGATTAAGGTTTTTTACCTCCTCCTATAAACTGTAGAGAGAATGGAAGCAGGACTTCAGTATAAAGTCAAGGTTATCCAGTTAATCTCAATTTAAGTTATTTACATTGGTCTATATGATTCGGATTCAGAAATATTGTAACACATTTTTCATGAACAAATTCAGCAATATGATTTTTATTGATATCTTCCCTATGCTTATATGCTTACAGTTCTTATTTTTTGTACAACCATTATTACCTTTTAATCCTATTGTCACATACATATATAAAGTGATAATAATGCATTTTAAATTGCTCAATCAGTTTCAACTCTATGTAATGACCCGCATTTGATTTGACTGATACTTTACATCTGGAGCCTATTAAGTCACCTGCTGGAACCCACATGACATTTAGAAGGCCAACACTAGATTGATATTATGTAGCACAAGATGCTGTTCAGTAGTTTTGAGATTGTAAGTGGAGGATTTTACACACAAGTGGAAGGTAGAAGGAAACAGTTTTGCTGTAATAATAATGTTATATCCAATCGGAAAATCCATGTTGTGCCTAACCTTATCATTTATATTCACAATTTTCTTTATCCTTACAATTGGTAATTATCAGCTTATTACCAGTTGTATTAATTGTGTCTATCTGTAACTTGATGCCTATAAAATGCTCAGTATATTATGAAATTTTGAGATATTTTCATATATTTTTTTCTGTGTCTTAAGATGGAGCGTGAGAAGGTGTCTCTGCTGTCCACGCTGCAGGACGCTCAGAAACAGCTTGAACAGGCCAACGGGGCCCTGTGTGAACACCAGGAGAAGGTCAGCCGCCTCACTGAAAACCTCAACACCATCCGCAAGCTCCAGGCTAGCAAGGAGCGCCAGTCTGCCCTGGACAACGAGAAGGAGCGGGACAGTCACGAGGATGGAGACTACTATGAGGTGGACATCAACGGGCCCGAGATCCTGGAGTGCAAATATAAGGTGCGTTTCTAATAAATTAGTATTGATTAATTTTTTAAATGGTTAGTAAGTAATGGCAAAGTAAATAATGAATGGATAAAGACAGAAACCGTTAGTAACCATAGTAGAAACAGTCAGTATACATTCAAGACAAAATCAAAAGGAAATCAAATGTAAACCAGGACTGAACCAGGAGTGAACCAGGTCTAAAACAAGGGTTAAATCAGGGCTAAACTAGGTCTAAGCCAGGACTAAACAAGAACAAATCAGGACCGGACAAGGACAAGGACAAGTCTCAGGAATCCAACTGGCACTAAATAAAACCACATGAGGACTTAAACAAAACAAAAAAGTCTGTCTACACAGGAAGTACAAGTACCACCAGCAACAGCTGCTGTGTAGCATTATATTATATATATTATTATTATATAATATTTTTGTGCACAATTTTCCTAACATTGGTTTTGCTTTCCCAGGTGGCTGTGTCTGAGGCAGGTGAACTGAAGGAGGAGCTGAAGACCCTCAAAGCAGAATATCAGACCTGTCAATCACGTTACGAAGAAGAACGCACCCGACTGGAGAATGATGTCACCACGCTCGGAGAAAAACTGTCCGCTCTGGAGAAAATCAGTAACACAGAGAGAGACGAGAAGAACAGGCTAGAGAAAGAGCTGCGCAAGGTAACTAGTACTACACTTCTTCTATTTAACAATTAATTATTATTTATAGATATAGTTACAATATAAACATTAAACAAGTATCTTAAAGGGATAATATGAAGTATTTTTATCTAATTCTAATGTAAGCTGTACTGTAAATGATAAACCTACATCAAAATGATTTATGTTGTTGTGCAGCTGGAGATGTGGTTTAATGGTGGATAAAATGTGATTTAAAAAAAATTATGATTTAAAGGTGCACTATGTAACTTTTTGGTTGGGGGTCCGTCACCTGCTTGTTTCTGTGGATATGTCGTTGCTCTGCCTGGAATGTTATGACATTAAACAACTCTGCCTTACATTTATTCAACTACAGGTTTATTGCTCAAAAATACCTAGAAAAACAGGCATTCTGAGTGTGAGTGGGGTTGCTTCTCCACATATCCGACCTGTAAATTGGTCTGGTTTGGTCTCCACAAAGATAGAAAGGTTTAATACCATTTACTGTGAAACCTTTTAGACAAAGCAATAACATCTCTACAGAGAAAAGCATTTGACAGGCCTTCCACCAGTAATGCTACAATGCACCTTTAATTATGATGCCAGAAAAATTGACAATCATGAAAAGTCCTAACTCTAAAATGGAACATATTATAAACATGTGATAAATGACTATATTATATCAAAAGTGACTAACATTTTCCCTGTTTTTGTCTGTCTAGCTGAGCGATGTAGCTGGTGAGTCCCAGGGCAGCCTCAGCGTGGCCCAGGACGAGTTGGTCACTTTCAGCGAGGAATTGGCCACTTTGTACAACCACGTGTGCATGTGCAACAATGAGACACCCAACAGGGTCATGCTTGACTTCTACAAGGAGGGCAAGGGCGGACGCAGCAGTCCAGAGGGACGTGGGCGGCGCTCTCCCATCCTCCTCACCAAAGGCCTGTTCCCAGACCAAGGTTACCATAGCGACGGCTCTCCCTCTCCAGTCTCCTCTTTACCATCACCTGTGTCCGATCACCGCAGAGAACCAATGAACATCTACAACCTGGTGGCGATTATTCGGGATCAGATCAAGCACCTCCAGTTGGCTGTGGATCGCACTACAGAGCTTTCCCGGCAGAGGGTGGCCACACTGGAGCTGGGCACAGTGGCAGACAAAGATAAGGAGGCATGCATGGAGGAGATCCTCAAACTGAAATCCCTGCTCAGCACCAAGAGGGAACAGATTGCAACACTAAGAACCGTCCTTAAGGCCAACAAACAGGTCAGTTTATCCCCACTGACGTCTGACTTTTGCACTATGAGGAAGTCTTTTCTTGTGGTCAAAAGCATTTGCTGGTAGGCTTCCAATAACACATACAAAGGGATGGGGTTGTTAGCTATTTCAGGGCAATTCAGCTGCTATAGCAAATGTTTAACTAGACAAGACAGCAGCCTTCTAGTGTCAGCTGCTGACTTTCTTTGTAGATAGAATGGCAAGATTGCATAGCATGAGTGCATTGCATAGCTCGCATAAACCCAAACAAGTGATACCAACATTTCAAACCCAATTTCAATACTAAAGAAAAAGTTTGATATTGATTTTGACACCATAATTAAAACATTAAAAGGAAATCTTTAATATTACAATTTGCTCTTAAATGAACTTGTGTACAGTTTATAAAGTACTGTCCAAAACTAACTAAAGAAATGTAAATACGTGTAATCTATTTTTGTTTTTTCTTTTCAGTATCAGTACTTGTTCAAAAGAGTATCTGTTTTATTCTACTTTTATTATCAATTATTACTTATGCATTGATTTCTTTGGCAACATTTACTCAAACATATTACAAAGTAGCTTGTCAGTTAGCCCAGTTATAAACAGGCATATGGCTAAATGGATGGTCTGATCATTTTGTTCTTTCTGTCCACTAATAGACCGCTGAAGTTGCTCTGGCCAACCTTAAGAGCAAGTACGAGAATGAGAAGGCTATGGTGACTGAGACCATGATGAAGCTGAGGAATGAGCTCAAAGCACTAAAAGAAGATGCCGCCACCTTTTCTTCACTCCGGGCTATGTTCGCCACACGGTAAGAAACGTATATGTGTTGTTAATTTATGCACACTAAATATTGAATAACCATAGAAAAACATTAGGTCAATTTCAGATTAAAGTCTTATATTGGGGTCTACCATATGTTTTCTTTATTTTGTGACTCAAATAATTGTGTCACCATTTTAATATTATTTTATCACCAAACTAGATGACAGAAGGTGCAGGGGTATAAGAGTGTATTAAAATATATTTGGGGGAGAATTTAGTCCCGGTCTTGCAGGATGTTTTCTATGCCCACGTGGATTAGAAGAGATGACACACTTGCTAATCGTTTGTGATTCTCAGGAGAAGGCGGTCAAAGGTTCTACTCATAATCCCACCTCAGATTTGGATTACACATTCACTCTAGTAGAACAATGCTCACATGCTGCTAGTGAATTTGAATACATACAGATGTAGTAGTCCCTTTACCAAATCAATTTACTGTGTTTTTCAGATTAGATATTTTTTCTTCATAAAAATAAAAAATATTTAACAAGAAATTATTATTAAATTATTACTGGCAAGCATTTGCAGTATTATATAAAAGGTTGCCTTGGTTGAGTGTTTGTAATTTCCTTTTCAGTAAGACTTGTCCTCCAGTTGTGTTTCATCATTTCTTAATTTCAGGATGAGTAGCTGAGAGCCATTTTTTTGTTAGCAAAATTAATCTTTAAAATTACAGTGGCTCAAAGTGTTGCTTTGGATGAGTGGTCAGTGTCTGCCAGATAACTTCACACCAAATGAACTAAGGCCTTGCGCATACGGTAACTGTTTAAACAGGGGGTAAATTATGTTTATTTTCTTGTTTCCATATTATTACCAAGAATATGCCATGTTTATTGGAAATTTACAGTCTTCATATTAGGTTAGGGTTAGGTATTAGTATTAAATAAAGTATAATGTATTTTATTGTAGTAGTATATGATGACAGTTAATTATTATAATTTAATTAGATTCTGTTTACATCCTTTTTAAATATATGTTATTTGAAAGGTAACACAATCCTTGTATATTGTTCTTACTGTTAATATGTAGTCTCTACAGTAAACCAGGCTGCACACTGTAGGTAGACGATGCAAAACAAGTGCATTATTTTTCAAGGCTGCTGTAGGGGATGTGTGGGCCACTCACTGCCCCCCATACAAGTGTATTCTGAAATCCAATCCCTCTCTGTCAAGTGCTCTTATTCATTTCACCCCACATCCCTGCAATTCTAATCAATTAGTAACTGTATGAAAAGTCACCACTTTGAGATATGAGCGCTTCTGGCACAGTGCACCAGAACCAGGTGCACAAACATACCAGTGTAATATTAAACTACTGCTAAAGTCAATGCAGTCCTTCGTCTTACTGAGATGTCAGAATGTCATTGTAGCCTGTAGGCCCAACAGGACTTTTTTTCTTTGTGTACTGTGGCAACAATGCACTGAAATGTATTCAAAGATATTACCCAGAGCATTGGTTTTCAAATGGTGATATAAATATTGGTAGCTTTGTATGGTGGCTACTTTTATACCTCTCCTGGGTTAGTTTTTATTTATTGTTTGGTTGTTATTTATGTATTATAAAATGTATTTGATTTCAGGAATAATGCTGTGCAATTAGTCAAATTTTAATAGATAATGTTTAATTATTCTTAATCATCAATGATGCGTGGGTTATTTTAATGGCAAGATCCACAGCCAATCCAATATGGTTTGGAGTTCAGACTTACAGAAGTAGATTTCACAATTTTTATGTTAAATGGCCCAGATAAAAAAAAAAAATAATATATATATATATATATATATATATATATATATATATATATATATATATATATATATATATATATATATATATATATATATACACACACACACACATTTTTTAAAGTGCTTAAGTTGTGGTTTATTCCCAACGTAGTTGTGTTTTGTCCTCGTTTGGACTCAGTTGTGTTATTCATGGATTGATTTCATGGTTGAGTTGACATGAATACACAAACTTCTATACCAGCCCTTTAAAGATGATACTTGAACAGACACTCCTAATATTAATCCTATAATTAAGATGCAGCCCTGTGTAATTTACTCTCCATAGATGAAGATGTTGAATGCTACTCAGCTGTCAGAGCCTATGCATAAATTACACCAGTTTATAGTATTCTTGCATTGGTATGTAAATGCAGTCCCATATAGGCACTTTTAGGTCACGCAGTCTTAGAGGATAAGGGAACTCTACAAACCAAAGTTTTCCCACACTCCCTCCCCACTCCCCACTATCCTGCTTTCCTTTTTACTTTCTTTAGCTGCTTCTCGAAAAGGAGAAAAAGCTTAGTACAGAATCCTAATTTGACAAGCCTTTTATGGTAATCACCTCTCTTCTGAATTGTGGAAGAGTGGATTTGGCCTTTGAGGGCAAATGGATCTTTTTAGCTGAGAGTTTCCTTGAAATTCTCCAAGCAGAATGATCCTTGTGTATGAATTCTTGTGAGCACGTTTGCAGCTGCGGTCTCCAGAGGGACATAAACCAGAGCTGTAGCCTCCAGCATTCCCGAGACAAGCCCAGGCATGTTCCCCACTCTTGTTTACACCCACCAAACCAATTACAGTGAAAATCACATTTATTCCTGGAGCTGTATCATTAATGAATACATACATGTTTTTATAAGAAAAAGAGAATGGCACTATGTGACAAGCAGTTTTATAAGACTTCAGTTTATCTTGTAGTTTATATGATGTATGATGTGTTTTTGGATAAAGCTGTGGTCCAGTAAAGCCTTGCTTATTTTACTTCACTTGTATTGTTTCAGTGTACAACCACATGCAACCAAATTTACATTTGGGACAATAGCTGTTGAGTTGAGTTAAGGACCCAGATATGCAAATTTGCTGATACAGAGATGGTGTATGAAAATAGCATTGGTTGAATTTGAAACTGCAATAGTGCTTCTTAACATACAAATAAATAAGACTACTTAATCTGGCAATAGACAAAAGATACAATAATGTGCAGTATAACAAATTCTCAATTGACTTATCTATTGCGAGATATCTGTATATGAAAAAAAAAAAACATGTACCCTTAAATGACAATGAACTGACTTTGATTCCTATTTAGGCTACTTTTGTGTACACTGCTTGACCAGTAACTGGTTGGTCAAAATGTAAACTATCCAGAAGTGCTAATATTTAAATATGTTATATTAAATTGACATGCATTTCTGTATTCTAAACCTTTAAACCTGCCTTTCATTTAATTTGCCTTGTCTTTTGCACAGTACTGCTCACATGTAGTCATTTCCTCATATTGTTACTCAGCCTATTATTTAGAACCACCCCCCGCCTGCTTCGGTATCCTCCCCGCAATGACCAATCCGACAGCAGACGTTGAACAGCTGCACCTTATGAACGCAATGTGAATCATGTCATCATTTCTCTATCACTTCTCAAATGTCTCTGTAACAGCAAATCTGAAAGAGTCAAATGAGTGATCTAAAAAAGAGGATCTATATAGTTACCAGCCATTTGCTTGTTACCCGTATATAACATTGTGCCACCACTACCATCCACCAGTCAGAAAGCCTCCATTGTATCCCCTCCCAAGAATAGCCCCCCTTGTATTTTCCCGGGAAAACGCACAGCCTTCTTCGCTTGACAATGGCGGAGTGACTGTGCTGTCTGCTGTGGTGGTGTTGGTGGAGGCGCTATCCTTATAGGACACCCCCCATGTAGACTTAATGAAGCAGTGCTGATCTCCATTGTAAAGCTGTGTGTCTCACTGGGAATCTAACCCCAGGCTTGAAAAGGGCCCTGTTATTGTTGGTAGGCTGGTTTGGTGAAGCCAAAGTTCACACGGTATCAGACCACGTGGAGTTCAAAAGACAGCAACAACCTGGGTTTTAACTGTCATGTGACTATTAGATATATTAGCTTCATTCTACAATCCTTAGTCTTTTGTTAAAACTACAAATAGCATAATGTGTTTGTTTTACTCCAATTGTAATGCAGAGATACAACTTTAGATCCTACTTTATAGTAGATTTAATGTTTTAATTCTCACAAAACACATAGTTTCCATTTATTAAAAGTCATTCTGATGCTTCCTTGGGCTTTGAAATAGTCCTTATGCATGATGCTCTGCAGCCTGTACCGGTCAAACAGAACATTCTGCTATTTCATGGGAATTGAGTAAAATACATAATGAGACTTCAAAAGTGTAGCAGAAACTAGGAGTGACAGAGCAGTGACAGTAAACTGGTAAAAAAGACAGCAGAGAATAGAGCGATGAAGCCCCAGGTGCCTGACCCAGTTATTCTACCTGTCCATCCTCTGATGTGTTTGGCATAAGGGCAGCAGGAGACAGGTGCAAGAGCCGCACTGCAGCACAGAGTCAGCCTGCTTTTCTATTACAGGCATCACTCGTTTAAGCATGCATTAAGGCTAATGTGATGAATATGTCTTATTCCCTTTCACTACATAATGAAATCATCACAATGACAAGCTCCTGTGTCTCTGTGGGCTCTGGGAAGATTTTCTTCTGGACCTCAAAATGTGTGCTGCCAACTACAAGAGCTAGACAATTTGTCAACTTCTGTTTAAAACTGTAATTTTAAACAAATTTAGTACAGAAAGTCCATAATATTTCTAATATAATAAAATTTCTGTGTAGCTGTGAATTTTTAAGATGGAAATCAGAAATGTCAGCCCTACTGCATTATTTATCTGTTTAATTATAGAGTAGCTGAAGGTCTGGTCAACACGATGTAAGTGTACAGCACCACCTGCTGGTGGTTAATGCACGTAGTAAAAGTAGGTAAAAGGTCATGAGAGGATAAATCCTTTAGAAATCATTTATGATGGGAATGGTTTGTAAACGTTGAATCAGTGTGAATTCTGAGTACATTCTATTTCTAAATAAACAGAAAATATATTTAGTTCATTTCATATTCAGTTTAGACAAAGCAAGTACATCACACCACCAAATTAAGTTCAATGATGCCCTCTGTTGGCCAACTTCATAATAATGTTTGTTGTTGTATTTATTTTCTATCTGATGTTAGGGCCTAACACAGTTTTAATGCATGTTGCAGTTGTGATGAGTACGTGACCCAGCTGGACGAGATGCAGAGGCAGCTAGCTGCAGCAGAAGATGAGAAGAAGACCCTGAACTCTCTGCTGCGGATGGCCATCCAGCAGAAGCTGGCCCTGACACAGCGCCTGGAGGACCTGGAGTTTGACCACGAGCAGACGAGACGTGGAGGCACCGGGGGGCGCTCTAAAGCCCGCAGCAAAGCCCCTGCTGCCTCCTCCACAGGTTCACATGTAAGTCAGAGTCTGTCTTGCTCCAGCTCAGGGCGCCCTGAGCTCAACACAGCTCTACCCAGTGGCATCATAGGAGGTCCCATGGTATTCTGCAGTGAGAAGTACAAGATCTACTGCGACTGAGCGGCGCAGAGCCGCAGCGGACTGCTGTGTACAGCCTTAGTGTTACAGAGCCCCACATGCTCGCTTAGCTCCCTCTAGGGACTGCTGTGTCTTAACCAGCTGCTTGTGTGTGCTGTGTCAACCTTAGGGGAATGCCCATGTACAGTGTGCACTCGACGTCTGGACTGTAGTAGACATTTATGGCATGTGGATTGTAGGGCCCTGCTTGTACTGAGGGCATTGTGGATTTTCTGGAGTGTCTATTCTTTCCGCTGTCATAGTGCCGTACGTATAAGTTAAGGTGGCAGCTTTTGTGCTTGTCTGTTCTGATCCCCAGAGTGTACTGCCTGGTAATAGTCACACACTACACTTGAATGGGGAATATAGAGGATGTCATAGAAGGGTTCTGTGTCTGCCCTTCAGCTCGCTGTTGGCATTGGTGCTCCTTTGAAACAAGCCCCTTCCTCCTCTTTCTCTGCTGCCTCCAGGACTGACCTGTCCAGCAGCCCTCTGACGAATCAGGTCACTCTCTACAATGAAATGTTTACAGGAAATAAACAAGCAAAATATGCAATCCTCCTCCAGCTTCTTGCTCGAGGAAGACTAAATGAATATTTACATGATGTATAAAACTTTGTAAGTGGGTTGGAATTGGTTTGTTGGAATTGTTTGGGCAGAAAGGAGCACCTGTGACCATAGGTGTGTATATCAGGATCATTGTAAGCTGTGATGCTAGCACACCAATACAATAAGATATGTAGAATCGCATGGCTTTGCTGCTGAAACACTAGCTTTTAACAAAACACTTTTCTGTTGCGTGTGGTATGAGAGACATGCTACGTGCTCTGCATGGTAAAGATACTAAAGTGGTGTCTGGTAAAACACAGGAGGGCTATTCTGTACAACCCATCATGTTTGCAATGGATTCCATTCATAGCCATAAAGAGAAAGAAAAGTTTGACAAATCAAACTCCACTCCCAAACAAAGTGCACTTCAGCACAGGTGCCTCGGGTTCTACTCCGATCAAATATTGATTTACTGTGAACGTAGAAGCTACGTAGTTTGGTTCATAATAAGCTGTTTAATGTGGGATAACTCTTAAAAGAGCACAAATCAGAAGGCACCACACCTGGATATTTAAATTGGGACACTAAAGTAACAGTCCGGCAAAGTGCCTGTCAGTATAAATCTAACCCGCCTGCCCTTGTGTGTGAACTGAAGCATTTATCCACCTTCCTCCTTCTCCTCTCTATTTTTGGACCAGAGTCAATAATGTCTGTATGCTGTTGTGACTGGAAACCCTTTGCTTTTGTCAGTGGCCACTTTTTTACCAACTTCTTTCTTTGTAGATGGTTAGCCGCTGGCTTCCTCCACATCACCACTCACCCTTTAACTAAAGTATATTTGTCAGGTAACATCCTCCATCTGTGTGTTCTGCCTGTATGTACATGAATGAGTGGCCCTCTTGTGTATTATATTTTTATCTTTATCACAAATAGAGGGCCAGTCATGATTTATTTTAAATGTGTGTGACGTGTATGAAGACTAAATGACGTACTCTTTCTAGTTCTTACAATTTTTCATAAAAGCTTTAACCCTTTGCGAGCTAGCATTACGCAAATATGAAAATATGTGGGGCTTGTGTTTATTACCCTCTCTGTGGAAAATAGACATGCTAGCTTTATGATGCTAAAAGCAGGGTTGAAGAAAGACAGTCCTGCCAGATTTGTACCTACTAAAGAAAACGTGCTATGTTATCATAATGCAACCAATTAAGAATCTTGCAGGATCTTATATCGTCTTCTCTACAGTATAAATAGAGAAACTATCATCAGCCCTGCTTATGTGTGCGTGTATATGTTTAGCACACAGCATGGAGACTAAGCAGTTATGGGAAAAAAACTAAAAGGAGGTTAGTCACTCCTGCATTTAAGATATTGTGTTTCTATCAGTTTGCGCTGATTGAGAAGAGATTTGAAGAGTAGAGAAAGGAAAACTACTCGTGTGGTTAAGAGGAGATGTGAGAAATAAGCTAGACATACTGGCAGTCCGCTCCAGATGTCTGAAAAGGTGGAGAAATGAGTCCAGTGTTTCCAAAGAAAGAAACTTCTGGACATTTTTTTTTTTCTAAGGAGGAAAAATACTGGTCTAGTGATTGACCAGAGGACATTGATTCAAATTAGTCCCTCCCCTTCTCCTTGTACTCTCCTTAGGTTGTAGGCAGTAGGTAGGTAGACTCTATAGATTTGTTGTTAGAAATATACCCAAATCCCTTAAGCACAGGAGTCTGAATTAAGCTCCATCTAGTTTGTAATCAATGTCTGGATTTTTTTTCGGGTGTCAACAGAAAGGCTCCTCCTACCTCTGCATGCAGGCTCCGCCCATTCCACATAATTTTCATATGTCATGTTTTTGTTTTGTTTTTTGTTTTTAAAGCCTGCATGGTATATATGTGTCTATTGACTCACATGACATTTGAGAAACCCCCATTACCACTAGCTTTACATTGGTTTGAAATACTACTGAGTTACTGGCTTCCTAACGTAATGACTTGGACTAACACTAGCTGTTTATTTGGAGTGTCTTTGGAGTTGTTTGGAGTTAACAGCTAACCAAAAATACAAATGCTGATTTTTTTTTATATTTTTTTTTTCTCCGTTTTGCAGTAATTACATGGTAGCCCTGTGTGGATGATGAAGTACCAGCACAAGGTTCATTCTTCATTTGAAATTGGGCTCGCCAAAAGATGCTAAAGCCTGTTTGGACTATAAATAAACAAAAACATTTTATTTACACTGATTGGAAAATGTATGCTGCTATTGGAAGTCAAAATGCCACGACTTTTTCAATTGGCCAATGACAACCCCCAATGCGAAGCCAGAGGTCATGGGGGTAATTTCTTAATGTCTAAACACTAACATGTTTCGTGTTATTTTTGTTTTTATTTTATTATTTTAATTTTTAATATGTGCACTTTCATCATAGAGGATTATAACTATTATTAACCTATAGGAAAGTGTGGTAGAACTATGGTTTGTGGATTACTTAAAATAGCTTATATAATAGGAAAATGAGTTGAATTCCTGAAATTTAAATTGCTACAGTTGTCACAAACCATGGTCAAACCACCAGATTTTATTCATTCGCAAAATTATGTTACATTAATGTTATGTCTTTCTTTTATGTTTGTTCTACTGCCATATTCTATACAAAAATCCAGGGTGATCAAATTCTGGGGTTTTTCATGTATTTATTATTCCTAGAGGAATAGCTCAAACTAATGAAACTTGACAACGCTCTGTTTCCAAAAAGGTAAGTTGTGCTTTGGGAAATCTTCTGTGATGTGATACACTTTTCCTTTGCTTCTTACCAAAAGGGCGTTCCACTGAAAAAACAGGATCACTGACTTCTAGAATTCTCTGCAAATGCAAAAATTAAAGATTCCAAATTGGAATTGTTTCATTCTCTCTTCGTTTTTTATTGTGCCAAATCTTGGTACACCGTGGGTCGAGACTAACTCAGAAAGAAAACAAGCTGTCGGACGTAGTTGGTTATGAGTGCTGTTTTTGTTTAGCTCTTCGTTTCTGACCAGTAGTGCCTTTCATTGTTTCAAGGGAGAATTTTAGACAAAGTATTTTATGTTTGTTTTTTATAGACTAAAGCGTTTCAAAATGACTGTGAGCAGCAATAAATGCAAAAGACGGGGAATTTCCGCCCTTTTTCTGCATGTGCGAGATGATAGTTTTAAAATGAGCTCAATAAAAGTGACGTTGCATTGAATTCTACAGGTCAGTGATCCACATATTTAAATCAGGGGTATTAAAGAAAAGGTTGTTTTTTATCAAACTGCGGGAAACATAAGAAGTCCCTTTGGCCTCCTGTGATGTTGAACAAAAGCCCCCAGCATCTATAACGTGCTGGGGAATGATCAGTGTGTATTAATGGAAACATATCTAGCTTTGTTTGGTGAAGGTAATGTGATATCAATAGTATTGTTGAAAAATGTGCAGAAAGCGCATTTTAACTTTTTTTTTTTCATTTATTTTTTATTAAATCTTTTTACATCATCTTTTGAGCGTTTTCAGTAAACAGAAAACAGAATACGCATCAACAAGCTTGATTAGTGCCATTCTAGCCAATGCTTGCTTGTTGACGCACACATATAAAGTTACCAATATGGAAAGAAGTGAAAAGTCAAAGTGCAATTTTTACCAATGTTTTACATGAAATAAGTTTTCTGTTTGCTGGAAGCTATAGCATTGTGATAATGAATTAGCTGTGCAAACTTTCATATTGTGTTCTCAGTATTGATCCATACAGAAACATCTTTATATGAAATTCACCTGTATGTTGGTATTTATTTGAATTTGTCATGCAGTACTGTATTATCTATTATGTGCATTATGATTAGTGGCATAATGTTCCAAGCTAAATGTCATATGCATGTGTCTCCAGTCATGGGACCTTTACACAGAAGAAGCAAAACAAACATGGCCGATGTTTAGGATATATATAAGAAAAAAAAAAGTTTTGTATTGAGAAAAAAAAAAAAAAAACAGTTTGCTCTATTTGTATTACTGCTGAAGATATCCTGAGAAAGTGTTTGTTTTAGAGAGGTGGTGCTGTGTAAGGGTAGTCATACTGGCTAAAATCAATAAAAGTAAGACAAAACAACTATTTCTGTGTCCAAGTGTCTTTTATTTATACATTCATCTCATAAAGCTGTAAAGGTCAACCAGGACAAGTATGGTGGGCTGTTGTTGGATCGGGGGGGGGACTTCCAATCTAACCATATATGGCCACAGGAAGTGATCAGATTTCATACAATGCTTCACAGTCCAGCTATTTTTACAGACAGGATGAAATCAATGGCACTTTTCCCTCTCCTCCCATCTGTTTCTTCTATAGAAATCCTGAGGGAATGTAATGAGGTGAACGTACCTTGTTACTGTTGAGATTCTTATTTAAACATAGCAAAGTATATAATTCACCTGTACAGTGATGGGAATTTTTAGATAGATAGTTCTGATGGATGTGGACAGTTGAAACAAATGAAATACAGAGAAAGAGCTACATATCTGCAGAATTGTATAAAAACGTTATAAAATGTATGTTTAATTTTCATTCCCTAAGATTGCATCTATTTATTAAAATTAAATGCAGCAGTAGAAGTGTGTTTTCTATTTATTTTTACACTTTTTGTTCAGGTACAAATTTTGATTATAATCTTAAGAAGTACTTATTTCCTCCACCCCTGCACTTTTCACTCTAGTGACTCAGGGTGTGTTTGTTTTGACCTCCTGAACAGCCCTGCTTCCTGTAGGGCCTCTAGAGATGTGGAGATCAAGCCTTTTACTCAATTAGTGGGTGAGCAATGTTGATTTACGCTGTATTATGGACAGAACAATAGGGCTATCTTTAGAAATCACTGCAAATGGGCCATTATGAGATGCTTGATTGGTGTAAACAAGTGCATAAAACATGGTTTTGTGTGCCGTTTGGGAGGAAACAAAACATTTATAGCATCAATCCCAAAAATGCAGCTCAAGACAACTTAAAATGAAAAACATGATGTCATTGTTGACCAAGCAGTTTTCTATAATATACATGGTAACATGTTTGAATAAGCTAACACTTGAATCATGTAGAAAAAGTGCACATGACAATTTGCACAGAGGTTCAGTATATATTGAACTTATTCTCTGCTGGAGTTCAAGGGTGACAGAGGCATACCCTGAAACTATAGGCCACTGGGTTCATGCGTGTTAAAATAAATATATCCTGTGTAAATTGCTGCATGGTTTAGAAAATCATAAATCTGTTAGTTACTGTGTAATGAGTTAAAGCAATAATAAAGCACATGCCTATCAAAATATTTTTCCCTCTTTTGACGACAAAAATACAGTTATCATAGTCTGTTGTTGATCATCTTAGAAGTCACAGTTGCATTTCAAGGTCTCCTAAAATGTCATTCATATTTTATTCCAATTGAACCCCAAACTATCTAACATCTGTTCCTCCCTTTAAGCCTGAAATCAATCACATTAACGGCTGTGTAATGTGGCACTGATTCAGTACAGTGAAAAAGTCCTGCAGCCTCTCACCATATGGCAGCTGAGCCAGTGTGAACAGAGGAGTACAGGGCTCACACACTGTCCAAATATGGCTATATTATTTATTTATTTATTTATTTATTTTGCTGACTAAACAACTTTGCCATCAGTTAATTTTCTGTGAAATAAGTCCTATTTTAAAAGACACTAAGTGAACGTCCATGATCAAATTGGCAATTATAATAAGTCTTTAAATTCAGTGGTGGAAAGCAATGAAATAAATGTAGTAAAGTACTGTACTTAAGAACTGAAAGTAAAAGTATTTTTATTATTGTCTGAAACCTGCTGAAAAGACTTATTTTTAACACATTCATAATTCAAACAAAACTATACAAATAAAAACTGCAAAACAAATCTTTATCAAAATCACTACATTTGAAACCTAATGAGACCTCAAAATCTGCATGAAATACTTTTACTTTTTACTCTTTAAGTCTGTTATAAAACAGGTACCTTGATACTTTAACTTTTTTAGAGTAAAATTTTTTTTATATATTTTTTTTTCATGTGATACTTTTACTTGAGTATTTTTTCCTCCAGTATCAGTACTTCTACTTAAGTAACACAATTGATTACTTGTATCTTTTTTATGGCCCACATCACTTTCTAAACCACATTCACATATATGACTTGTATGTGGAAATACTAAATGCAGCCCTATTATCTAAACCAGGCAGCTACAGTAACCAGTGAATAAAAGAAATGAATGTCAAAGCTCGAGTGAATAATGAGAGCTAACCACTGACAAATGGTGACATCAGCTCACAACAGTGGCTTTATTGTGGATGCCAGTCTTCTGTTACATCCTGCCCCCTCCACTGCCCTGGCACGGGGTATATGGGTCAGTGGGTTCTGGTTTCTGGCTTTACTTCTCGGCTCTATTAATATGCAGGTGTTGAGATAATAGTCACAGTCAATGGGATTTCAAACGGCTCTACAGCTGTTTCACATTTAAGCCCTTGCAGTATCGCGTTTCACCACCGGAGGTCCCCATAGCACAGCTGTTGGTGACTGGAGTCAGTCTTGACCTCAGAAGTCAGGCGAAGCTTAAGTGCATTAACAAAGAGGTTTGTGTATGAGGAGGTGCCGACATGTGATGGATCCACAGGAGATATCTATTGGCCAGCTGCTTAAAGCACTCCATAAATGCCATCTGATTTAAAAATTTTCAAGACAAAGCTATAAAGTGCAATCTCTGTAGGCAATAATACTAAGAAATATACTTAGACAAGCCTTATTGTTCCACAAGTGAAATCACAATGTATATGCACAAGTGGAATAATAAGATAAAAAATATTTAAAATAAAAGTTAATACAAAATATAAAAGGAGAAAATAACTTAGTCACTTTGACAAGACATAAGGTGATCCATGACATAAGCAAATACAACTATATTACTGTATTAAAAGAAGACAAAAGATTTACTGTGGCTAACCTTCAAAGAAAAACAAAGATACAGGCTTTCATGTGTTAGATAAAAAGAGGACAATCACTGACTTGCTTATTTTGAGGTTTTCTTACACAATATAGATAATAACAAATACAAGTTACAACAAATCAAACACCTTTATAAAAAAAAAAAACTCATAAAATTAATTTTGAATTAGAAATAATTATTTATTCAGCACTGGAATGAATGAAAAAAATGTACAGTATATAATCAGAATGAGTATTACTATGGACCCTAGCACAACAATATGCAATAGGGCCGACGATTTACAATGGCTATACCATTCAGAGAAAAAGTAAAACAAAGTTGTTTATGTTCGTTTTTGTGCAGCAGTTGAAAGACAAAAGAAAGTTTCTGAATTTACAGCGTGTGAAGTGAGCTCAGGCTGAACTGAAGCATTCCACAGTCCTGACTCTGATGTGAGTGTCCTCCCTACTGGCCCAGGCCTCAAATCTATGAACTCCACTATTGTCCTAACAGGCCTTGACTTTTACTACTTTTTGTTACCTTTATTACCACTGTTTGGATTCATACACCATAGCTGCAAGTCATTTGATATTTGAGACATAACAACAATTTTCTCAATGTCTTGTTCAAGTATTTTAAAATTACTTGCTTGTATCAGGTAAGGTATGTAGAAGGTGAAATTGAATCATATTGTAATGTTCTTTGTAGTCAATTCTAAATCCTTAAGGATAAATAAATGTGATTTCAAAATATATTTAAAAATACAATAGTTATAACTGACAATATTCTAATGGTAATCAGATCAGACAGGGGACAAAAAAAGGTAAGAACCACCAGTGTAGGATCATGATAATGTCAAACATCATCCAAACTACCATGTCTAGTTAAAAATATACAATATCTCCACCAACATTAAATATGATGTTATAGAATAAATGAAAGAATCCATTGTTCTAAATCCATCTTTGTGTGGATTCAGGCAGTGCACGTCTTTAATTTGCACTTGAAAACTCCAGACTGTGGTGTCATAAACAGACTGGCTCTTGGTTTAATGTGTGACTGATGAGCATATGACGGCCCATTCAAACTCACAAAGGCTTTCCCTATGTGTCACCACACCATCACTACACATCACACCTCCACTGTCACACCTCCAGCAGCAGCAGCACTTTGTAATTGACTTCAGATTAGACAACAGAATTCTACCCCAATTTCACTGTAGTGAGTTGCAATCACTTGGCTTTCTTGATTTTGTTCTTTTGCTAGAAATATAAGCTTTATGATATGTATTTTATTTTTTAAGTGCTCTATCTCCCTCCACTTCTTGCTTGCCTCCATGAAGATGTTAATGCTTTTCCTGGAATGTCCCACAATACAGTATTATACTCAAGGAAGACATGACCAAGGTGACGCCACCAAGCCAAGATGCTGATCAGACCTGTGAAGAGGCAGACTTGCTCACAGTAAAAGTGAACGTTTTTTCCATTTATTTTTAAAACAATAAAACTGTAATTGAATTAATGCAAGTATAATGCCATTCTGCGGGGCATTAGAGGCAAAGCAAATACATTTCAGTGGAGACTACCAAGTGCCCTACGCCCCAATAGAAATGTACACAGTATGCCTTTAAATAAATGAATTGTTTTCTGCAGAATCTGGGAAACTATACTCCAGTGTAACGGCCAGTGTGTTGAATGCTGTTTGGCTGAGTGTGCGTCTGAAGCCCCAGGGAGCGGAGGGGAGGATGTATCCCAGGGCGCGGTGCGGTGGTCTGCTTTCTGTGGAGCAGCATGCCCCAGCCCGGCTGACAGGCTCTGTGTTCCAAGAGGCACTAAGAGGGGCTTTTCAAAACACAAGCTATGCTAAATATTTAGGTTTAATCTGTCTAGTCTCTATGGCTGTGTGTTGTGATGAGTGGACAATGTTTCCACTAAAGTATGTAAAATAAATTCTCAAACTGCTTTCTTTCTTGTTATTTATTATTGTATTCATCAATTTACATTTTTGGGCCCATATGGCTTTATTGGACAAGGCAGCATATGTGGAATGAGGGAACGGTGTGAAGAGCAGGAGGATACATTCAGAAAATTGATGGACCTGGAAAGCAGTCTCACAGCCCTTGACATGATGTGCGATGTGTGCTGTGACCTGACCCCTGTGTCATTGTGCTCCACTGGAAATCACTAAAAACTCTGAATATTTTTAGTGATAGTATTTTTGAAAAGTTATATAGTTCTTAAAAATGGCAACACCTCTTGCCATAAGAACTTTCTCATCAGCTGTTAAACTTAGAGAGACATAACTTAGAGAGTCATAACATGACCCACATAAACAATATTATTGAGCAGTGCTTGCAATGTGCATGCCCCTGTTGTATATATTATACATGCTTCTTCCTCTTTGTTTTTTACCAAATTACCAAACCACTGTTTTTGAATTTGACTCCAGTTAAGAACTACACATTGGTTTGTAAAATCTTCACTGGCAACAGCAATAAATCTTTTTCTAAAATTCTGAATTCTGGGTGAAATATGTGATGTGGTGCTGACAGCTGAGTATATATGGCTACATATCAATGAGGTTTTATAGTGTCTCACTTTCAGACAGGAACACATTAGAATTAAAGGGCCTGCTGTCGTCTGTGTCAGTGGGATACAAAGTGTGCAGCAGCCGCCACAATAAAAGACTTAATGACGCGTGGCAGAGCTGACACAAGAGTCTCTGAGGTGGAGGGGCGGACCTGTAAACAAAGAGTAAAAAAAGTCAAGTCCCTTTGCCCATTCACATGTAAAACAGTCTATTACTAAGCACCTCATCTGGACATGTTAGGTCTAATACACCAGGCATTTACAATATACAATATAGTCCCCTTTGTAATTATTGAATGCTAATTTGATCTTTTGTTGTCAATTTGTTACACTTGCGTTGCTTATAAAGTTGTGTTTTTCATGTTTGTACCCCACCAAAAGCCCATAACTGCTGGGAGGGACCCCACCAGCCTTATAGAGGAAACAGAAGAATAGAATGCTTTTTGCCTCGTCACACTGATGCACTTGCATCAGAGGCTCTGTTTAAATGCAACAAAATCTGATTTTTCACTGATTTCTGGAACTTTAAAATGATTTAAATGGCTTACAAACCTCAAAATCTGATTTGAGTAATCAAAGAGATGTTCATGTTTACTGTTTAAATGATAATTTAGTAGTTTCATTATTGAAATCTGATAATACTCACATTCTTAGTGTGTATGTAGCCACAGCTAGTGTAGAATCTGTTATAAGTTCACATAGTAAAATAAATATATTTAATACTCTAATACTATATTTAATACTAATTTAAAATGACCTTATCCTTAATTTCCCTCCCAAAATCACAAAAAACAAAATCCAATTATTCCTGCTGTATTTAGATCCAATTTTATTATGCCTTAATATCAGGAATTCAGTTAAGTTTTAAAGCAATTGTCATATTTCTTGCACAAGACACGAATGGGAAAACTAAAAATGTTGTAGCCATGCGTTTATTCTTTGCCTGTGGTAGCCTATTCAATGTTCCACATTGTTTTGTCCTCCAGTACTGCCAGTAGGCCTACTCATTCAAATACAAATAGTCCTATGAAGAGAAAGCAGGGGAGCAGTGACATGGAAATACTGGGGCAGATACTGTAGCCACATCATGGACACTTTTTACGCACTAATAGGCAGCTGCGTAAAACATTCTGCTCAAATAAGCCTCATCTTTTTCATGACTTCACGTGATAGCCCGTGTGTCACGTCCCCTGCCTCTCGTGCGCGCAGCACAGTGGAAAATGAAACGTGGGATTAAAATCACTTAAACCGACACGCGACATGCAAAATAACTGCACTGTCATGATAATATTCACGTCAAAAGCCAAAAGGAGATAGGCTTCCCTGACTCTACACTGAATGAATGGGTTCACGTGAACGCGCATCTACACGGGTACGAGCGTTTTCTTTTTTTTTCCAGGGGCAGTGAGGAGAGTTTCAGTGGAGGGAGGCGAGTCTACAGTAGAGACATAGACTAGAATCCTGTGCGTAAAAGCAAATGTATCGGCTACGTTTTTACACGACTTTTTGGGAAAACTATGGCGAGTCTTTAACGGAGAGGTTGCACTTTTAAAGACACGGCGGTGGAAGAGGAGACGGAGTCAAAAAGCGCTCCTCCGACTTTGAGCCATATAAGCTTGGGCTCTGAGGACTGCCTCACCGAGAGATTTCAACGGCTTCAGTGGAAAAAGGAGCGGGGAAAGAAGTTTGTGCAGGATGCAAGGGGTTTCAGCCACCGGTAAGTGCAACATTTTGCCTTTGAATCATTTTTGTCTACTTTCTCTCAGAAAAAAAGTTGTTTCTAAATGGCCACAGCTGCTCTCGCGCTTTGAATTCCTATGTTTTTGCCAGTTGTCAACAAGGCAGCTGCAGCAGACTGGGGCCCGCCGTTGTCAGTTCCAAAACAAGCCGTGTATCTCAGGTCAAACCAAGGGAAAGAGGCTATGGTGAAATGATTGAGTGGGGAGGCGAGCTGACAATGCAAGAATAGGAGCAAAGCCGTGACTGCCCCGTTACAGAAGCGTCGTCTCTGCCTCTGTGTTGTATATTATGATGGCGATGATAGACCCATTCATTCACTGTACTCCCATAGTATTCACTGATTGTGGTATGTGGTTCTGACAGTCACAGTGAGGTACCCAGTATGGTGTTGATGATGAATTGGGGATTCTTTAGTTTTGTCACAACTCTGATGTTTTATTCTTGGTTAAGGCATTGTTTGGACATAGACCTACCTGATGCTATAAGACCATTATGATATGTAATAATGATACTATTCTACTATTAAAACTACTATTATACACTATGTAATCTACACTCCCACCACCTATACAATACTTGTACTTTTTCCTACTACAACTACTACTGATACTAAAACTACTAATACCACTACTTATATTACCACTATGATTGCTGTGTTACTATGACAGATTATGACCCTGCTATATGGTGACTAATGATGACTTTTACAATGCTATTCAACTGCTTCTACTCTATAATTTATACTGCCACTAATAAATGCCATGCTTAAGACTGGCACACAGGTTTCATGTGACTGGATAACAAGTCTGGTCTTTGGTTATACTTAGATATTCCTTGAACTGTTTGGAAAGTACCAGCAACTCTTTCCTTTGTGTTGGTGTATCAAGGCAGTTTCCAGTTATATACAAAGTACCCTGGCATACGTTAGACCCATGTGTTGTCCACCTGTCATAGTCTATGATGACATTTTCCTTTTTACATTGGGCTCAGTCAAAAAAAAAAAGTGATACTGGGAATTTGTCCACTGTCAAAAAAGTGTTTACTCTTTTCTTGAAGTGACCGATCTGGAACAGTAGACATACAAGTAGGCCTATACCTAAACCTGAAGTGATGTACTTATACAACATATAGTAGAGGAAAAGATGAATAAACGATAATACTGAAGCTAATTTATCCCACTGACACAATAACCAAAAGGGGATTATCTCAGAAACTATTCAAAGTGTACAATATAGTTAAAAATATTAGTTGCAAAAAATATCAGAATGAAATACTTTAATAGTTAGTATACGTATAGAATGAGTTATAGAAGCTGAAATCTAATTGTAGTACAGAAAAAGAAAACAAACTCCCCCGCAAGTATAAAGAAGAAGTACCCACAATAAATTCTGAAACCTGAAATAAATGTTCCATCTTTCATGTATTGAGCGATAAGTCAATATAGTAATTATTGTGACAGCCCGATTACAATAAATAAACGACTATTCTACCAAAGCTACTTCATAGTAACTGTTACAATATCAAATTGTAGTATCAAGATTGTTGTGATAAGAAATCACAATCACAATTTAATGATTCACAACCGTTTTACTCACAGAAATATTACTAATACTGTGACTAGATGTGGCTTTTTGTTACTGCTTACTTCTACTACTATTTACTATTACTACCTCTTAGCAGCCCCTTGACCAGTTTCTTGTGGCTGTTTTATAACTTAGTTCTGCTCACTTTCAAAATTAGAAAATCTAACACGTTTTGGTGGATGAAGCAAAATTTCCTCTCTCCTTGACAGATCTAGGACAGTTGGTGCCACACGACTAAAACTACAATCACCACAATGAGTTGGTGTGAAAATCTGATTTGGATGGTTGAAAATGGTGCTCTACTGTGAATGAAGTGCTACAGCTAAACAAAGAAAGGGGGAGGGGTCAAACATAGAGATAGTGATAGAGACAAAGTACCTACTGCTGATACTACGGTATGGTACTGCAGCAGAGGTGAGCTCTGCTGAGAGGGGGGAGTTTGCTTTGGGACTTGGGGGAGGGATCGATTGGACTTTTTCAGCCCTGTGTCCGTTCTCTCCCACACTCATTCCCAAGGTTCTTTTTTCCTTTTTAGTTTTATACTCTCTCCCACACTGTTCAGAATCAATCTCTGCTGCTTTAAACCCTCATCCTTAGTTTTGGCTGCTAAGAGAAATAGCATGTATTTTTGGTGTGCAAGTGCATTTTGGAGTATTTTTTTCTCAGTACACCTTCAGTCAAATATAATATATGGATCATAGTTGTGATACCTTTGGCTAAAGCCACACCACCCTTTTAGTCAACTAATTGATGCTCAGGGCATGTCTCTATTCAACCAAGAATTTCTTTTAGTTAATTATAGTGATACTAATACATTGAGATGGTTGCTATACCAAATCAAAATATTATTATAAAGGCCCACATTGGGTCATACTTTCCTTGGACATGCTTACTAGTATTTGCAGTATCAGTAGCTGAGGTGGTACTGCTGGTTTGGTCACTAATTTAAAGGTTCTAACATCTACTTATCCCACTGCATGCTGCTAGCCATCTTGTTAATCTGTACATTATGGTAGTGGTAGTAGTAGTAGTAATAGTTGTAGTAGTAGTTAGTAGTAGAGGTGGCGGTAGTAATAGTAGTAATACCCTTATAACTTGACCTCGGCTTCAGTAATGTTATTTTGAAGCTACGTACAATACTAATTTACTACTATCCCTGCTTTGTCCATTGTCTCTAACAGAATACTTATATAGTGTCTCTTCCTCCACATGGGATTCTTCTGGGATGTTCTCTGTCATGGTTATTTGTGTGTTTACAATGGGAGGTTCCTTATTCGCCTCTTGCATCAAGTCAGTGGAGAATCTATCAAAACAAACCAGAGAAAACAGCAGATAGCCATGTACTTATTGTAATAGTTTTGAAGCTGAAGTCTCATTTGTGCTGTTGTGAGGGGGCGAGAGCTGTACCTCCTGTTTGCAGATACAGGGGAATCTTGCTGTGTGTGAAAAAAAGTCAACTTGAGCCAAAGGCGTTGATGTCCGGAGGGACTGTTTAGATTATTAGTATGATTAACAAATACTATTGGGCCTGTCTGCGCTGGACTGAGCCAAGATAAACATTTGCCCTCTAAATTAGATAAACACTACAATGACAATATTCAATCCTCAGTTTTGCAGCTCTTTTACTGCTGCCAATATAAGGCTGTTTGTTCCCACGTTTTTTATAGTGATGATTGTATGAATAGTTGTAACAGTAATGAGCTTCTATTTTTACTTTATTTTATTCCTGCAAGTATGGTGTATATTAACCTTCACCTTCAAGGCACTCAAACACTTAACATCAAGGAACCACTCACCCATACACTCACACACCAGTATATGCAGACACAGTGCTGGGTTAAGTGTCTTGCTCAAGGACACAGTTCATCTGTGTGGGACTAACAGCCAGTGGATGTGAACGTTCAACCAATGATGTTTATGTCCAGAGCGGGTTTTGAACCACCAACCACCAGCATATTCAAATACCATGTTTAGGGGCAAATTATTGAACCACACTAAGATGTATTGTTTAAAAATGTGTCTTAGATTTTTGGCCCTTGTAATGTAGCACTGACTGCAGTGTCCCTGAAGATAAACCACGTTAATATTCACTTTGACAATAGCAGGTCAAGAAAACAGTGAGGCTTCTATTGGGCCATTGTGAAAATTGTCAATTGTTTTTTTGGACCAACAGGAAGTAGAGTTCCTTTTCCTCACGAGAAGGAAATGTAGATACTGACTTCATTTGTTTTGTTGTTTTTTTGCCCCAGTTATTTTGAACGCTATGAAACTCAGGAATACTATTTGTCATAACTTGCCATAAAAGCTTATTTTAACAGGACTGCAAAGCTGGTTTCCAAAATCACCAAGCTGCAGAGCCAAATAGATAAATGTCTGGCAATGTTTGAAAAAAGTCCTACAAATGTACAAATTTTAAAGAATGGTTTTGTGATAATTCATGATTGCCACAATGAAACCTGTAGTAAGATGATTTGGAAGGTTTTATGCCAGATGCCCTTACTTTAGCAACTGGGTACATATGTTGACAGGAATTTTAGGGTTCTTCTCACCCCGCATTGGTGTGCACTTGCTGAGATTAAAATTATTAACCGTCTGATTGGTGGACAAGGAGAAGCTAAATTAATCACCAGAATTATTTGTTAATATGCTGTTTTATTGGCTTACTATATACTTACTGTATACATTTACTATATATACACCATTATATTATACCACTGGTCCCTTTGCCCTCTTTTGTATCTATTGTTATTATTTCTAAAAATGAATATCCTGTTTGATAAATCACATCCTTTATCACTATTTCTGACTCCCTTTTTCTCACTAATGTGACCACATGATTTCCTAACCTTCACACAGACTCACTGTTGATATAGATGGCTGTATATTGTGATGGTAAGCTCTCCCTCACAGTTAGAGGAATCATGACCACTGCTTTAGTCACCTTTAGTCCCCTATTTCCTCCTGCCCTCTCCTCTCCTCTATGGCCTATAGGTTGTATAAGTCCTTGTGGTATGATTCTTAGTTATTGTGTGAGGGTGAGACAGCATGACTCAGGCTGGAGCTCTTCTCTCCTCCGGGCTGTCTCTGCTGCTGCTGAGCGTCACATTGATTCTCCTAACACTGGTCATGTGCATGTGCTACACAGGCTCAGAAAGAACTGCATTCAGATGGACAGCATGTGTGCAGTGTTTGTGCATAGACAAAAAGTGACCAATAAGTTAAAGGGAGGGGTGCTAAAATAGGTACAAGGAGGATGCATATGTGTTAAGTAAGTATGATGTCACAGTGATGTAACTGACTTAAATATGGGAGCCCTCAAAAAATAAAAGTTAACTATGAAACCCTGACCCTCACCATCTCTATTTCTACAATCAGTACTACTACTATTAAAATA